TTTTTAAACAGCAGAGATTTCCAGTGTGTATTCTCCCCTTTTTATTGCTTTCATTTGCATATAAATTAAATCCATATTGTGCCTGCGAGGCAGACTATGCTAACTATGCAAACGATCCCTGGCTTTTCTTTGTTTTACAGATAAACCCTGGGCTTCCTCAATGACAAGGTGGGAGGGAGAGAAGTGGGCTGAGAGAAATCCTCCCGCTGTTTCATAATTGTATGAATTTTAAATACACTGTCATAAGAAGCCTCTTCCGCATTCGCAGCGGGGAAGGAAACTATCATGACAATATTAGAGCTGCRGGGTCGGCTGACCGTGACGATCCGGGCTCGTCTCGTCACCTCTGCTCACACATGCAAGCCAGATGGCTGCAGAAACCGCCTTTAGAATCACATTAGACCTGTTTTCTAAACATAACCAACACCTCTTGGTTTCAGCCCTCCAGACTAAAAAGCGTATGGAGAAAAAAAAGAAAAGAGCACCACATTTTTACACCGAATCGCTTGTTTTTACACTCAAATTCATCGTCAAAGCAGAATCAGGCCCTATGAATATTCATTCAAATAAGACATTAGGCAGCAGCGCTAAACTGAGACTAATTTTACTGAGGGCCTCAGGTGAARACTCCTCCACCGACCCTACCCTACCCCAGAGGTTTACCATAGCTGCAGGGATAAGCTGGCGTTTATTACGATACGTTTTGTATTTTTTTTTTTGCCAAATTTGCCCTTGATCTGTGAAAAATGAATTAATAATTACAATTTATATTTTTAATCAACAAATTTATAGAGTTAAATTGTGTTTCTTTTCTATATGATTTGAAAGAAATTTGGATTTTCCTCCCAAACGCAATGCTGACATCAGTAAAAGCAAAAAAAAAAAATACAGCTTACTTTTGTATACTGAGCTACACCGTAGGATAAATGTGATTTATTGCTGTTATTTGCCATGTTGATGTTGTGCAGCCTAGGTAAATAGTCTCGCTCGTCACTGATTATCATTACCACTCACATCTGTACGCCTGTTAACTCCTACAGAAAGAGCAGAACGCAGCACTTGAAATAATTAAAAAGCTCAAAAAGACCGTGAACTCCTCCACAGCTGAACTTTGCAGGCTCGTTAGCGTTTAATTAAATAACTTGATCTGAGATCAGCTGAACGTGTGCAATAAGCTGAAATGAAGTGCAGGAGGGAGCTAAAACAACCAACCTGGTGCCAGATTTTCAATGTAGATGCTCTTTGACACAACTTTACAGAGTTTATGTGATTTGGTTACATGTAAAAATACTAAAAAACTGCCCAAATTATTAATTTAAGATTTAACTATAATACAAAGTCTTTGATTGAGAGTCTTTATATAT